ACCCCAGACCATTGGGATGCGGTCGCGACCAACACAAATACACAGAATACACACAGAAAAACAATTTACTCCGATGTGCAGCTCGGTCAGGTGACAAGGGGATTCCACGTCCCTTGCCGACAAGGGGATTCCACGTCCCTTGTCCAGACGTCCGACAAGGGGATTCCACGTCCCTTGCCCAGACGTCTGACAAGGGGATTCCACGTCCCTTGCCCAGATGAGATTCACGGAGAAAAAGGGGATTCCACGTCCCTTTTCCTGAACCTCTCAGTCCCTGGGGCGTCCCCCAGGGCGACAGGCAGAGCTCCAAGACCGTCGTCTTGCTCTAGCACTGTTCCAAAATACAGACGAGATCTCAGTTCCAAATTCAGATTTTACAGACACTCACACAAACACAGACACAAACGAGAGACAGACACAACATTGAGGTTGGCCGGCCAACTCACCTCCCCAAAGGGGCTGGAGTTGTCCTGGTGGTTCCCTCTGACCAGCCGATCTCGGTGGGACCTCCAAATGTAAGAGTGAAACCACGGAGGACAAGTCACGGCCTTTGGGTTGCAACAGCAAGAGGTTTATTCAGGACACAGGTACCTGTGGGCACAGAGTCTCCTCGGAGGACTTGTGCACCCCAGGTTGAGTTCAGGGGGTTTTTATAAGGCAGAAGCAGGGTACAGAAGCAGAAACGCGGTTATTGGTTAATTTCAAACACACATAGTAATTTTACCAGTAATTTCAAAGGTATGCAGAGGTATGGGGTAAGGTCCGGGGCTAAGGGGAAATAGGATTGCTAAATGGGAGGTGACCTCAGAAGCACAGACGTTTTCTAAAGATTTCCTGGTATCGGGCCCTCAGGGTGGTCAGGAGTTCTGACCGTAAAGCCAGTTTACAGCTTGATCTGTGAAGCTTGACCGGCGCCTACCTGCCTTGCAGCCTTTAGATAAGGCTGGTCCTGGTTTCTGTTAAGTTTTAACAAGTGGGCTGTGGGCCCCTGAGCACTCATGG